TTTCCAATGTTTATGGTGTACAGTCTATGATGCCCTTCTTCACTCTTCCCATTTAAACACTCTCCCCGCCTGGGCTTGTGCGAAACTGCTTTGCAAAAGTGTTCTCCCCACTTCCAAACTGCTCCTTCTTAGTCTCCTTGGAAGGCTATAAGCTGGTGATTTCCAATCTCTGTCTCCACTGAGATGTTTCTCTTGGGCTCTACACCTATGTATCCAACCGCCTACTTGACAGTTCTCTACAATGTCCCTCAGGCACCTCAACCTTTTTGAAACTGAATATAATTTTCCCTAAATCTATTTTAAGAAGTGAAGGAGAGTAGACTGTTATTTTTATTTATCATGAATTCAAAAGAGAAATTTTAGGTGAATGTAGAAGAGTAGTGGTTTGGCTAGCATAGTGAGGAATTGAATGAATTCTCACCTTGACTTCTGGCTTCTAGGTACGTGGGCCCTGGCAGATGAATATCTTCCAAAGGAGTGGGATCTACAGGACTCCAAGAACTTAGGTGAGAGCCAAGTCTCAGCTAAGAGGAGGCATGAAAGCCTTAGTGAAGTTTTCTGACGAAGATAAACTGTAGCTTATTGACAAAGAAAGGAAGATTTAGAGGGCACAATCGAGAGAGGGAAGTAGCTCAAAAGAGAGAAATCATTAAGAAGCTAAGCACTCACAAATTGTTTATCGAGCTTCTTGAGGGCAGCTGCCAATCATAACCATCTTTTCATCCTTAGAACCTCTCCCAGTGTCTGGTATATGCTAGACTCTGAGTGACAGTTTCTTACAATAAAATTGGACTGTTGTAAATGGCTTTTAGTTATTTTCCATGAGGGAGAACGTGGTAAAAGATCCTATTCTCTTTTTATAAGAGAAAATGAGATAGAAAGATAATAGCTTTGGGCTTTTAGAAGGATATAACCCAATTCTACAAACATTTAAAAATGCCCATTGGGTTAGCCACAGTTGACTGTAACACCCGCATCAGTGCATTCTTTCCCTCCAGTCAATTACATTCACAGACTATGGTTCTCATTGAGGCAGATTCTCTTCCTTCTCCCAACGCTTGGGAGGAGATATCTGTAAGACAGAACAGATCTTTCCAATGGATATGGCCTGCCCAACTCTCTCCCTATACGTCTATCAGAAAAGGAACTGTTAACAGAAATTACATATAATAAATAATAAGTCAGTCATTGGGTTATAGAAGCCGAAATTTCCCTTGCTGAAAAGTTTCCCTTTTCGCTCATGACAGCTGAGTAGGTGAAGTCACCTCTAGGTTCAGTTTCTCCAAGTGATGCCATTTGTTAATGATGAAGCATCCCTGCCTGCTCCTTCCAGCTCCCAGGCCTTCCAGGTCTTACAGGCAACTCTCTTATGGCTGAGAGATTCTTGGCTTTCTGAAATCTGTCACCTACACCTTTGGTCTTGATAAAAGAAAAAAATGTAATTCCCACCTTTGCATGATGCTGTTTGCCCCCTCTGGTGTGTGGCATTGTCTTCCTCTTCAATTTATAGATTTTTTTTGTTTGGCATAGAGATTTTTCTGTCATCTCCTGGACTCTTTTCCAAGCCAGTCTGCAGACCTCCATCGCCATGCTCTCTCTGTAGTGTTGATACCAATCCTGATATCAGTTTCTCTACATTAAATCCAGCATATATGAGGTTAAAACCAAAACACTCATTCCCTGCTTTCTCCCTGGCTTCCTGGCTCCAGAATCCACTATCCTCCATGGAGACAGACACTGCCAAGGACAAGCACCTGGATTCACTATCTCCTCCCCACAAAGAAATACAGGCTGGTGGGAAAGTTGCTCACCAGCAAGGTCACGGGCTCCCTCCTCTTTGCAAGTAGTCTCAAGGGCAAAGACAGGCTGGCGGGAAAGCTCTGATCAGCAAGGCCATATGCTCCCCCTCCCCTACCTAAAACCCCAAATAAAAAACCCTTCCTTTTAGCTTTTTAGGGAGTTTGGGATTTCAGCGTTAGCTGCCCTCTCTCCTTGCTCAGCGCTGTGCAATAATAAAATTCCCACTTTCTTCCACTACCCCAGGTGTCAGAGATTGGCTTGCCATGCAACGTGAGCAAACTCACTTCAGGTTCAATATCAGTGTTATGCCTCCAACACTCTCCATTCCTCTTGTGGACTCACTAATTACCTCATAGCTTAATCACATTTACGAGAACAAAGATTGTCAAAGTTCATCTTTGTTTCAAGGAGCTGGCCATCTATTGTGTGACACAGACACAAACCACATGTTATAATTGAGGAGTAAACAAAATGAGAGAGGACAGGAGGAGAACCACTCAGAAGGAAGGGAAGGCTAGAACATTCGACTAAAATTTTAGAAGTTTTAACTTCAGACTCTATGTCCTTCTTGGTAGAAGCTCTAGACAGTTGTAGCCCACTTTCTGCAGGGAAGGACAGAGGCAGTTTAATTGGAATTCTGGTCACAGTAATTTAAAGTTGTTCCTTTAAATGACAGATGACTTTGCCTGTTAGTAAAAATACATGGGCTTTCAACTGGTGTATTGCAAATCCTTTATAAATGTGTTACCAAGTTTTGACAAATTTATAAGATTAAAGTTTGCTCTGACTGAGATGCCTACATTACAGCAATAGATCTCAGACAGAACTTTAAGCTGAGCTGGTCTGGAACTGAATGTAGAGAAGGGAACAGAAGGTGGGAAGTAAGAGGTAAGAACCATAGTGTACTGTCAAACGAGCCCCAAGAAAGATGGTGTGTTTACTGAACGTGCCCTGTGAACATCAAAGAGAATGTGGACAGGGCAGAACATGACCCTATTCCTGCTGTCAAGACAGTGTTGAGGGTGGCCAAGAGAATGGGGGAGTGGCTGGACCAGCTTTTGTAGACATTGTGAGATACAGACACAGTGAGTAGCGATGGTGGTTGGAGACTGCTGACTTTTTAGTGTGGTTTTAGGTCTTTTAATCTCTTCAAGGGTGCTCTAAAAGTTATAGTATTCAAAACGGTGTCAACACACACACGTAGTATGTGCTATGAAACACTGTAGTAGTACATTTAAAATTAAAATGGAAAATAACTCCTTGTTCCTTTTTCTTATCTGATAGCCTACCAAAGCTTTAACATCTCTCACCTCAAATGAATATCATCTGCTTCCTTTTTATCTGAGCCACAGAACATGAGAGCTCATTAAAATCTGAGAAATTTTATTAACTCTGTATGACAGTTTTTCCCTTGTTCTTCTCTTTATCTTCCTTTCACAAGCATTATTATGAGGTTGCTTGATGGGTTTTTAATATTGTCATGAAAAATCTCCTCTTGGGCATGTTTGTACAGTAGATAACATAACCTTAAGAGCTTTATTCAAAAGAATTTATTCAAATGAAGTGGGCAGACACCACTGAACCACCTCAGCACCAAATGCGTTTCAGAATAAGTTCTCTTCAACCACTGTTTGTTATCTCATTTGTAATAGAACAAAGCACCACTAGATGGAGCTAGGGTTTAAGAAATCACATCTCTAAGTTGGTGACTGATGTGATGGATAGAATGTTATCTTATGGAAAAAGTGTATCATTACTTTCATTTCAAAGCCTCTGCAAGCCTTCCTTAGCTCCACTGACAGCCCATCATCTGTTTACTTTGTGTCTACACAAGATGAGACAAAGGGTGATGTTTGTGATGGCCCAATTTATTTAGTCACTCTAATGATGACATCTAACCTTCGAATAGCACTTTATAATTTAGAGCACGGTCCCCTACATAATTATGTTTGATCTTCACAGCAACTGCGAGAGATTGCTGGGCAAGAATTAGTTTTTCTATTTTTGAGATTAATAAACTGAGACAGGGTATCTGCAACACATTAGGACATGTCAGTGTGGTTAATCCAGACGATTGAGGTTGCAGGATCAGTTTTCCCCTCTTACATTTTTGTGTGGACTGTTGACCCAGCCTGGCACTGAGTAGAAAACTATCAACTCATTCCTTTTGTGGGGCTCAGACTTAGGGTCTGGCCACACCCACAGGGAATATACAGTAAAAAGACATGTAAAGAGTATGTGCAGGTAGAACTTCCCCAAATAAGTGAACAAAGAAGGGTTATCTGAGCTCCTGCCCAGAAACTTTCGTGTACATGATTCTTCGTTATACCAGGAGCCAGGCGTGTAGACCAGCACCTCATCCTGTGCAGTGTGGACACAGGTCCTTCAAGCCAAGATGGCAGTTACTAACGTTAAATGTGCGGGAGGCTTCCCACCCCGCCCTGCTGCCCCACGCATTTGCTCTCAGAGACAAACCCACCCTTTTGATGCGTGTCAGTTTGTTCCTGTTTCCTAACCTTACACACTGATCATAACAGATTGTGCCTCAGCAAAAAAAGTCATGTAAATATATATATTTTTCCTTAGCCTTTAGGTAAAATATTCACTGGAAAAGAGTGGAAATCAGATCAGTCAGCAAATTTACCAAATGTCCAGAGCCGGCATTTGTGCCTTTGGTTATCTTTAAAAACAACCCAAGACAGCTTTTCTGGAGCTCGAGGGGCTAATCATTCTGCAACTCTGACCTTTTACAAAATAACTTCCTTAATTACTGGTGAAACACTGGCTTCAGAATCAAGGTGGGGCAACTCTCACAAATGAGTCTAGGACACTCTAGGGGAAGGCAGGAAGGTGTTCCAAGAACCTCAAAGGTCCCAGGGACTCCAGCCTGAAACAGAGCAAAGGAAGAGAGAACATCATCATGTTCCCCCAAGTCTCCTGGCGACCTCGTTGGGAGTGCATCCATCAAGAAAGCCGCTCAGAACGCCCTCCGGTCCACGCAGCCCAAGGCGCACCTGGAGCACATTTCCCACGTGTGCCCAGAGGGTGGCGCTGCCAATCCAGCCTTGGCCCGCCGCCGCGCGCTGCTCCTCGGCGGTGCGGGAGCCCTCCGCTCGGTCTCCCGCAGGCCGGCGGGGCGCACGCGCCCGGTAGGGGGCGCCGCCGGCCCGGGCGCAGCGGCTCCCTCCGCCCACCCGGAGGCGGCTGCGGCGAGGCGAGCCCCGCGCGAGTGCGCTGCGAGGCGGGCCGCAGGGAGGGAGGCGCGAAGAGGGCGCGAGGGTGGCAGCCGGAGGGAACCGCCGCCCCTGCCCGCCCAGGTCCCCGCGGGGCGCATGGGGCTCTTCGAGCCGGGATCGCGCGCGCGCCCCGCGCCCAGCTGTCTGCTGTCGTGAGGAGCCGCGCCGGGACGCCCCCCAGACGCTGTGCTGTCGGGAGGATGACCATGGCCGGAGGCAGGAGGGGACTGGTGGCTCCGCAAAACACATTTCTGGAGAATATTGTCCGCCGGTCCAATGGTAAGAGGTGCATTTGGATTTCGGTTCCCCAGGCTTTTTCTCCGTGCCTTTATTTTAGACGCCTCTCGCCGCTCGGCGCCGGCAGATGCAGCAGAACCCCGGAGCTGTGCTGGGAGCCGCGGCGCGGGCGCCCGGGGCTGTCTCCCGGAGGCTGGGAAAGGTGGGCAGGGCGGGGCGGGGTCTGATGGGCCCCCATCCCAACAGGAGAGCTCTCCCGGGGACGTGTTTTGGGCTTTTTCTCGCGCCTTCTCGATCTCATCTCCAGAGAGCGTGACAGCTGATGAGCAAAGTACTGGGAAAAGTGATGGGAAGCTGGACGCAGCAGGAGCGACAGCGCGTACCCCATCGCTGCTGCCCACCCCTCCGCGAGGGCTCTCAGGGCTCTCCGCCTGCTCCCCAAGGCGCCTCCTCTGTCCAGGGAGAGCCAGCAGTAGAGACTGCAACTCCAGGTCTTGGCCCCAAGGGATGGGAGGATGAGGCTGCCTCCACCTTCCATCCTGGCAGCTGAAAAGTCCGAGGTGTAGGGAAGTGGGGACTTAGGGACGTGCTTCAGACGGCCTGATTCCACCTCTTCACCCACCTGCTCACCTCTTTCGAGGTTAACTTAAGGCTCACGAGGGGCAGAGTTTCCTGGACTCAGCTGGGAACTGGAGGGCACAGGTGTAGAGCTGGCCAAGCGGTACAAACCTGTCATAGTTCCTCTCTTCCAAACCGCAGCAGCGGTTTTATGCCGTAAATCTTGCTCACCTATAAATTCCCAAACTCACCAAGCCTGTGAAGCTATTACCCAATAAGCCAATGCTCCCCGCTCCTCTCTTTCCCTGTGGCATTAAGATGGACAGTATCTTGAAGCGCTGGGAGGCGAGAGTCCTAGCAGCGGGGATGGAAAGGGAAACATTTCAAACGCCTTTAGGACCCACAGCGGAGCATCCCGGCTAAAGCGCTTGCAGAGCAAATAGGAGGCGGTTGGAAGGTGCAGTGAACACCGGTTCATCAAACGGCTAAAATGAAAAGGGGCTGAGCCTGGAGATTCTCTATGCAGGCTCCTGGACCCCCTCCTTCCAGAGACAGATGACATTCTTCTATTAGAAGCACTTGAAGAGCTAACTCAGGAAATGGGTTTTAAAAATGTGTAAATATCACAGTTCAGAGCCTTAAGGAGCCTGTGGTCAAACTGGGGGCTTCTATTCAGATTTAGATAAGAATTGAGGGGAAGGGCATGAAAAATCACTTCTGCTACTAAGAAATAGTCTTTAATTAAGAAAGTCATTCAAGTTTATCTTATAATAACATCAACTGGGATAGCAAATCGTCATGTATTATTTAAGTGCTTTGTTTGAAATGATCATTTATTGTGTGCGTCTTAAGAATGAGAGTGTCAAAGAGTTTCTGGTCAGTCACCTTTCTCTTCAAGGTCTTCCTCACTCAAACTAACTAAGGTGGCTTTTAGAACAAGGTCACAGCTATTACCTGGGGATGCAAGGGGATGCTAAATACTACATGAACAGCCATAATGAACTCTTCTGCCATAAAAAAGCTGGAGGTGTTTATAGATTTTTAAATAAAATCACTATGTAAGAATTAATGTGCTGTGATTGCTGTTGTTATGGGCCTGTTAAGGGGTATGGAGGCAGTCTTGCACATTTGGGGATCCCATTGCCAGTGACATCGACTTTTTCACAAATATCAATGACAATTCCATTTTTTGGTGAAGAGGCAGTGTCCTTTAAGTTAGAGGGGAAACCCTGTGTCTAATGCATGCCATATTATGTTTTTGAGAGGAGAGAGCAGCAGCAGAATCTTACATGTAACAGTTACAAGGTTCCTTGGGCTTGTAAGAGGACCTTAAGAATCCTGGAGCTGATACTACAATTAAAAAAAAAATTCCTGGAGCAGAATACCTTCTAGTTTACTGGATCTTCTTAGAACCACTTCCCCTCTGTAAGCATCCGTAGAACGTCAGTCGAATAAGTAGCTGGAAATATTTTTAGCACTGGCATTTTAATTTCAGCACCAATTCCAGTAGCTTGACTTCAGTTAACCAACCAACCAAACAACATCAACAACAAAAACAAGACATCTTGAGAGAGTTGGATGAACTTTTAAAACTATCTATTTTTTCGGAAGAAAAGATTTCTGATCCTGAAATAATGCGATTTAAGTTTTTAGTGATCCTTTCATCCTATTTCCTGAACACAAATAGAAAAAAAAAGTGGACTCTTGGAGGTATCACGATATCTACCTGCATTATGTTATTTTACTGTGATGGAAAGAGTCTATTTAAAAATATTGATTGTCTCCTCCTAAAATCCACCAGCCTTTTTTTAGACATTACAGTATTTAAATAGCATTTTACCTTTAAATAGAAAAACCTTTTGGTCATTTTGATAGGTATTTTCTGCCCATGGTCCTATGCAGTATTATTGTTCCTCTTTTACAGATCAGAAAACTGAGTCCTAGGAATATTAAGTGACTTATTCAAAGTGGCAGGCAGACAGTGCCCTAGGCAGGAGTTCTTTAGAGAATATCATTCATCCTTCTTGTAGCATCATTGTTTCTCCAGCCCTTATGACTTAGCCTGTGGAACTGTTTTCACCATCCTTCAAAAAACTACTCTTATTATATGCTAATGGATAATAGAGCTGACTTTTCTGGGGGGCATTTGAATATTTGATGTCTGGAATATCACAGAACTGTAGGATAAGACAGACCTTAGATGCTATCTAGTCTGCCTCTCCTTCCCCATCATTGTGTAGATGAAGAAATTGAAGCAAGCGCATTTCCTCAAATATTTAAGGAAAGAACTGATGAGACCCCAAGCCCCTTGACCCCAGTGTCGTGTTCCTTGTGGTATACCATGCCACGACCTTCCTTGTATTACCGTTATTTTCTCTAGAGAAGCATAATTCCCAGTGGAGATTAAATAAAATGTTATAACAACAAGAACAACATCCATTTTGGCTAACAGCCATGCTAACTACCACATCCAAACAGAATAACAGGGCAAAGGAGAAGCTAATTCTGTTTCAAGGAAGGGCAGTATTTTCACCTTTGTCAATGGTTTAGCTGAAGGCACAGGCAGGAGAACGGGCACAGGCTGGAGAAGGGGCACTTGACCTTCGTGTGCCTGTTGCAGAGTATTAAGTCACTTTTCATAGACTATCACCTTTGATCCTCATAAGCCAGCAAAGGAGGTGCGGTGTCCCCATTTTAGAGTTTCAGGAACCAAGAATCCTAAGGTTAAGTAATTTGCCTACAGTTAGTAAAATGCGAAGTTAGAAAAGGCAGTTAGAGGCAGCTGAGGGACTAGCCAGCAGTTGTTATTGGTTTGTTCATTCAACAAAGATTTATTGAACACTGGGATATAGTGGAAAACAAGAAACCCTCCTTACCCTTAGTAAGTTTCATTCTAGTGAATCTTGGGGCAAGGTTCTTACCCTTATTTTACAATGTGTCCTGGATGTCACTCTTATTTACATCTGACATTGTATTTAAAAAATACGTTTTTAAGGTGTTTACTGGTTTTGATGGGACTGAAATCCAGTTTAACTTTCTTTGATACATTCTGAATACCACTTGAAGGCGAGACTTGATATTTATCTGTTTTTTGCATATGTTGTAAGTAGTCACCAGGAATAAATAATGCCCCAGATTTGATTTGATTTTACTTACGGTCTTGTTGGTGATCATTTCAAATCGTTCTATTGACTTCGTTGCCACTTAGGCAGAGCCAGCCTATTTCTCTGTATAGTCATGGTTGGAAAATGTCGTTCCAGAATATTTTTTGATGGTTTCTTAAATCTGCAGGCACTTACTCTCAGAATGCTCGCTGAAGTAAATAGGAGAGCTGTCTTAGGAAGGCTGGCAGACCTTAGTGCCAGGAAACTACGAAAATACTGCCCTAAGTGGTCCCATTCTAGGAAGAACATATGTTTTCGTGTTCGGAAACCTATGTCAAACAATTGTAGGTGGCAGTAAGAATCCATGCACATTAGCAGGAGTGAAACGCAGCACATTTCAGTACAGATTTATGTACATGTATAATTTACAGATTGCTAAATCAGCTGTGTTTTTGTATAGTGTTCAGTTGGTTCAGGTTGTTGATATATTTAGTTAGCACACAGGATGAGAGCTGCGGGTAATATTGTGTCTCCTCATAGATGTGTTGAGCCACAGTAATATTTATAAAACAGAGAAGTGGTTAAAATCCATTGTTGCTCTGAAAAGAGAAAGGGTGATAATCTGGATTATTACCAGCTCAACATAGCTTGTTTTTTCTTCTAGTATTTTCTAAGATAACCTTCAGCCAAGGCTCGGCTGTCATTTTCTGAAAGTGTCAAAAAGGCAAATCTATCGACTGATCTTAGCCAGGGCATGGAGCAGAGGGAGCCTTGTGAGTTAATGTAAGGCAATAAAGTTTCCAAATTCCATGATTTTTATGAAATCCATCTATTTTAACAATCTATCATATAAGAATAGATGCATTTGAGGAACACTGTGGGGAGAGTGAATCTTTGGCTTCATTCTTTCTGACACCAGCTCTTCATTTATGATTGCACTTCATTTGGCAGTGGTTTCTCCAGCGTCACCTTGAAGCTCCTCAATACTTCCTCCTGTTTATTTTTGGTTAGTTAACGGCTTGTAGACAAACATTTAAAATATACCTTAGTTATTTATTCAAAGCAACCCTTTTTGTAAAGTGAGTATCTGCTTTATACATTTAAGATATTTGGATCACGATTTTTTTTTTTCCTTAGTTTTTCTCTTTGAGTGGTCACATTTATAACTGGTGAGACAGAGAAAAAGAAGCATGGAATCTTAGGTCTGAAGGGGCATTCTTTACAATTCCTTTTCCAGTGTTTGAATCCTCTCCAGAACATCCCTTCCAGCTGTTATCCAGCCCGTGCTGAATGGCTTCACAGATGGAACACTCACTTTCTTACAAGGAGTGTTCTGTTTTTGAGCAACTATAGTTGTGAACTAGTTTCTTCTTTTCCTTT